GTCTAGTCTGAATTGAGAAGCAGCACTGGGGTCATGGTAGTGGAGGGGTGAGGAAGCCTCAAGGAACCAGCAGAATATAGTGTGTTTCATTGTCTTTGGTATAAACATAGTCTCGTAGGTGTAATATCCCCCAGTTTTCTGATCCAACCGTGGTGAATGGTGGAAGGAAGCTGAGGGGTTATGGAAGGCCCCCAAACTCTTTTGGGAGTAAAGTTGAGTTATCAAGATCATCAGTGCCAATGAGCAGTCATCGAGGCTGGAAGAGGAAGGTGCTCTGCACTTACTACATAAGTCAGGGTCAGAAGTAGCAAGGGCACTGTCATGAAATTGGCTCGAAGTGCTCTTAATAAAGAGTTGGGGGAGAAGGGGATAGCACTTCTTGGATATTTCCTGGAACTGGTCACCTTCATGTTTCTTCCAAGCTTCACTCATTCCTGAGGTCCATCTCGCCATAAGGATCGGGTAAATAGCCAACTGTTATCGAACAGTTACTGTGTGTGCTGACACCATGTTTGCCCATCACAGCTGTCCCAACAACCCTATGGAGCTAGCCAACCCAACTGACTGGCAGAGCCGATTCCGACTTCTAGTGACCCTGTAGTAGAGAGTGGAGCTGCCCGTGGATTTCCGAGGCTGTAGCTGCTTATAGGAGCTGAGAGCCTCAAGTGTCTTCCGAGGAGCGGCTGGTGTGTTTGAACTGCTGCTGGCCTAGGTGTCAGCAGCTCAGTGTGTCCCCATGATGCCTCACTGTATGGGTGAAGGTTGGCTGCTGTTAGTTACTGTTGAGCAGGCTACTGTCTCCTGGCAACCCCACACAGCACTGCCAGGTTCTGGGCTGGCCCCCTGGTGGCGGGGGCTGTATGAGGCGGCAGGGGCTGTATGGATCGATGCTGTAGGGTTTCCTTGGTGTGCAGGCTTTTCTTCAGCCCTGTTTTAGAAGTTGATTGCCAGTCCTTTCTTCCCAGCCCATCTTAGTTTGGAAGTGCCTGGGTCTGTGCTGAACCACAGCAATGTGCAGGTGTCCGCTGACCAAGAGACTGACCAGCTTCCTGAAGGCTGGATAGCTAGTGAGCTGCAGAGTTGGGGGTTTGAGCCTCAAAGCCAGCATCTTGAGCCACTTTGCTGCCCTGAATCCGTGGTCCCAGGGCTGACCAGAAACTGCCAGCTATACCTGGAGCACATCCCGACTCAGGATCTCCCGCCCTACGTAGGGCAGTGCCTCACTAAACAGCTGTTCCTGTCCTTCTTACAGGATGTCTCCATGTCTCCTGAGTCCTGCCTGCCACTGGGAAGCCCACCATGCCTGCCTCACCCACCATGCCGGAGACACCAGTCTCAGCCCCCGTGGGGGTGCTGGGGACACGGTGCAGAGGTGCACCCTAGCGCTGAGAACCAGACTTCCAGCCCCACCTTCCCAATCAGTGAGGAAGCAAGCCCCCTGCAGAGCTCACACCTGCAGCTGGGCGACTGCCTTGAACTTTGGCCAGACGATCTGGGGGGTTCCCACTTGGGCATCTACTAATGATCTCATCTGCCCCTGTAGCACAAATGCAGCATGGAGTGCGGGGCACTGCCTCAAATGGATATTTCGGTGATCTTCAAACTTCCTTTTATCCAGGGATCCCCTTTTTCCAAGTGTCATCTCACGTGGAAGCAGTGTATGACACCTAGGCCAAGGTGCGGACTATGGCAGTGGGCCCCAGTCCTGGACACCTCCAGCATGGCCGGTGTTCCGCAGAGCACAGCTGGGGATGCTCTAGACTAGAGGCTGCCTGACTGAAAAGGAGACTGGGCTGGGACTGCTGGTCCTGTGTGGGCTGGGGGCCAGGGAAGACAGGCCCCAGGCTGATTCTTGGTGACAGTTGATGTTACGTCTATACACATAAATGCTTTGTATTCTTCCTCACAACAACCCCAAGAATAAATGTCTGGTTTGATCTGTCTTCTAACCTGGGTAGTATTGCTTCTGGAAAAGGTAAAGTCACCCCATCCTGTGGGTAACAAGGCACACGGTTCTTCCCACCCGGAACCCAGGCCTGCAGATGCAGGTGGCACCCTCACGTGCCCATTGGCCCTGGGTTTGGGGCCGGGCCTCCACCTGACCCTTAGTACAGACTGGCACAGGAGGGCTGGTTGAGGCCTATCTGCTTCCTGTTCTAGCCACACAGACAGACAGACAGACAGAAACCCGATACGGGCAGACCAGAGGCCCAGAAAGAAGCCCTGGTAAAATAGTGGGATAGGGTTAGCCAACCACAAGGTCAACGGTTCAAATCCACCAAACACTAGAAAGATGAGTCTGTCTGCTCCCATAAAGATTGACAGGATCTGAAACCCAAAGGAACAGTCATACTCTGCGCTATAGACTACAATTAGCGTGCTCATAACGACACTGCTACCTCCCACCCTCACAAAAAAAGACGCTAATTGTGTGGTTCCTGTGTCTCAGGCCTTGTCTTCAATGCCAAGGAGAAAATATTCCCTAGCTAGCAGGTGAGTGACAGGGAAATAGAGATTCCTGTCCCAAGTATAAGCATGGCCATGTGTGGGCCCAGATAAAATGGCGGGAGGCAGCTTTGACAACAAGGAAACCGTTAGTTAACTGATTGGTTAGCCCTGGCTGCCTGGCTTTGTGATGTCTGACTCAGAGCTCACTGCCATGGAGCCCATTCCGACTCATAGTTGACTCTATAGGTCAGCACAACTGCCCTGGGGGTTTCTGAGACTGTAAATCTTTCTGGGAGGGGAAAGGCTCCTCTTTCCCCGGTGGAGCAGCTGGTGGTTTTGAACAGGTAACTACAGTTGACAGACAAAATGCAAAAAGGGGCTCCTGCTTTATGATGTAATGAGTGAAAATATGCGCCCTGCTTGAATCTTGGGAGAAGGATGCAGAAGCAGTGATCCCGGGGCTGGATGCTGATGGCTGTTCAGGAGCTTGCCAAGAAGAGGGACAGGGTGACAGGCAGAAGAAACGGCATGAGACGTCAAAACCACACTTGCTGAGGAGCTAGCACCTAGAGCGCCCAGGAATCCCGACTCTTGGTCACCTGACCCCCAGGTGTCAGCCCGGAGCCCCATGCTGGCATCGAGTTGGAGCAGGAGCTCTGAGGTTGTATAGGACCCTGTGTGATCCTGAGAAGAGGCATTTGGTTTTTAACCTGGGTGATGGGGAAGCATTGGAAGATTGGGAGGAGTGGGTGAGCTGGCCAAAACTGCTTCATATGAAATGAGTCCTGGCAGGGAAGGCAGCCAGGGGGCTGTTGTAACACCCAGGGGTGAGTAAAGGGGAGGCAGGTAGACCAGGCTGGCCATCTCCCTCGGCTGGAAGCTATCAGCCATACATAGGGCCTCTCATTTGCAGCCCGTTGTCTGCTGACCTAACCTGATGCCAGGTCTCTCTTTCTGAGCCTGTTTTCCATCTTCCAAAGTAGATAGAGGGTTTCCTCCAACCTTTTAGACTGTGTGGGTTCTGGGTCACACCCCACGGTCTTTCTCTCCTGAGGTGTGGTCAGCCACAGCCAGAAGGTGGTACCAGAGCCTGGGCCCTGCAGACCTGGGGCCCTTTCCACTTGGTTCTTACTGGGTGAAAAGAATCAAACCCAAGGCGGTTTCTGTTCGGTTGATTCTGACTCCTGGAGACCCGCCCCGCTAGGTGTCAGTCATAGCAGCACTGAGCTCCACAGTGAAAGCCGATTCCTCTGAGGCTCCTTGGGGTGGGTTCAAAAGCCAACCTCCCTGTTAGTGCTCGGGTGCTTCACTGTGCCAACCACCCAGAGGCTCCACTGCCATGTAACCTCAGGCGTTGCAAAACCTCCAGAAACACTGCTTCCTCCACTGTGAGGTAGACAAGGGTAGACCTTGTCTCTCAGGGTTATTACCCAGGGCACACAGTAGGTGCTCACAGCGCTCAATGAGCTGGTCTCATGACCTAAGAGGTGATCTAGACCAGTGGTTCTCAAGCCTGGCTGGGGCCCGAGCTACCTGACTTCAGGAGCCCCAAGCATGATTAGTGTCCCAAGCAGGTTTGGGAATGGAGGGCTGTAATAACAGAATCTTCTCCAGGGGCTTCAAGGAGCAACCAGTTTTGGGAATAATGCATAGTCTCCACTCATTTTATAGCTGAGGAAACAGGCTCAGGAAGATGAGCAACCTCAGACTAGGGGTCCCTCAGTCTCTCGGCACATCGGTGTTGGGGAGTGGCGGAAGCGCCCAGCTCCTTCCTCTGGTGCCTGCTCTGGTAGGGATCCACACTCCTAGTTGGCTTGGAGTCTAGGCTGAGAACAGGGCTGACCCTCCGCAGCAGGAGCCAGGCTGAGTATTCTGTGGAGTTTGGAGGCCAAGTTCTGCTCACCTCAGCATCTCCCTCCTTGCTCCAAGCTGTGCGGCTCCTGGGCAGTACAACTAGTTAAAGCTGCTAACCCAAAGGCTTGCTGTTTTAATCTATTCCAAAGAAAGGCTTGGTGATCTCTTGAAAAACTGCGTGTGCTTCACCCCCAGCACCTTCTTCTGGGCTGGCCACCACCCAAGACCTATTTGAGGATCTTACCGGGGGAAAGATGGGGCTTTTTGTTCCCTAAAGAGTTAGTCTAGGAAACTCATCGGGCCAGTTCTATCTTGTTCTGTAAGTGAACTGAGTCAGAATTGACTCAATGGCAGCGAGTTTGAGTTTTTTGAGTCAGCATCAGTAAGACACTGAACACCCAGGCTGGGAGAAGTGGAAGACCCTGCCCCAGATCAAGGGCTCAGCTCATTCCTTCACCTGCTAGCATTCAACAGGTGGACTGTGTGTGTGTGTAGGACAGATTACTACACTCTGGGGCATTCAGCACCTTGCAGACAGGGAACTACTCTGCGAGATGGACTGGGCTGCTGCTCTGTGACCTTGACCTTGATCAAGATTCTACAGGCAGTTCTCTGGCCCTTGCTGACTCACAGGGGGGTTTGAGGGGTGGGGTGGGGCTGGGACTCACTGCCTCTGGCCGGCCTGGAGCATCATGAACACTGGCTTTGTAAGCTGTCAGGCGCCACATGCGGGTAGTGTGTGATTCTCGCAGCCCTACTCCAGGACAGGCGGGCTTTCCACGCCCACAGGCTTGCCCAGCACTAGAAAGACTGTCCTGATCCATGAAGACCAGATGAGATCAATGCAGAAACCGCTCAGTTCAGTGCCAGGCACAGACGCATCAATCCATGTCACCTTATCCCTGACCGGACACCACCACGTCTCTGCAGCCGGAAGCAACCCAGGTCCCAGCCAGCACCTCCCCCAGCAGACACCTTCAGAGGGGGCTTGCCTGTAGGTTCCCAGAAAGCCAAGTGCCAGCCAGGGCTGCTGGGTGCTGGCGACAGGAAGGGCTGGCTCAGAGGGGCTGGGGCACTTAATCTGGGGAGAGCCCAGGGAGCCTCTGGGCTGGTGGCAGGACACCACCCTGGGGGTTGCCTCCCGCCCCTTGGCCTGCCGGATACTTTGATGTGCGGATGGCGCTGGAGGTGGGGACTGTCCAGGCGCTGGCTTCTCTCAGTGGGGAAGAGACTTGCAGAGAAGATGCTGTGTTGGCGAGGCAGGGAGGCCAGAAAGTAGGGCTAACTTGATAGTAATGCAGGGGTCACCATGAAGGGGGGGGTGGGGGCGGAGCGGCAGATGGCAGCTAATAACTCAGAAAAGTCAAATCTTGAGTGTGAGAACCTCCTTAATCCCACACAACAACCTTAGGGTTCAGATGAGGAAACCAAGGTTTGGGGTATCGGGGTTCCTTGCCAAAGAAAATGGGTGAGAGTGACAAGTATCTCAATTCCTTCCTTGCCCACTGGCCTTGCTGGTTCAGCTGGTCCTGGTGGGGCCGAGGATAAGGTGAGCTTCCTACAGCCCGACTCCATCAGTCAAGAGAAGCTCACGAGGTCTAGGCTGGACCCTAGAGTCTTGTGGTCCCTGGCATTCTCCTCAGACATGGTTTGCACAGCGTTTGCCTGACCGCCGGCCCGCTGCCCGTGATGATCTGGCCCCACAGCCCCATTTCAGGAGCCTAGCACACCTGCCTCCCAGCCTCAGCACAGCCCTCCCCATCCGCTCCTCTCGCGAACAGCCACTTTCTCAATTGTGTGGAGAGCTCACAGACCCACCATGGATCCTGAGACTGAGGCCCCAAGTGGCCTACCAGGGTCACTACCCTCATTGAACTGACAACCGCCTCCTTCCCAGGGTGCTGACTGCAGTGTAGGGGGGAAGGCCCAGCAGCACCTTGCTCCTCTCCCTGCTCACTGCCAGTGTTGACTCATAGTGACCCCTGTGGGTTTCTGACTGTTTAAGGGAGTCGAAAGCCCAATCTTTCTCCTGAGTTGCTGGTGGTTTTGAACTGGCAACCATGAGGATCGCAGCCCAATGTGTGACCACTACACCACCAGGGCTCCATCCTCCTCCTCCTAGACTGGTGCAAACCCAGCTTCTCTCCAGAGCTCTGGAAAAGCGCTCCCTCCGCCAGGCCAGGCCAGGCCCTGCTTTATACCCAGTACCCCACAAGCCCAGCGTGTCACTAGCCTGCTAGGTCTTCAGGGCTCCCCAGCACCCCGTGCCACCAGGCAGAAACCATTGCCCACCTCTCTCCTCCTATGCCCTGGGTCCTGGACCCCTACTGACCTTCCTGCACACCCAGATTCCCTCTGTCCCAGCCAAGAGCAGACTCACTCCTAAGCTTAGTTGCTCATCAATCTTAGCCTAAAAGCTCATCTAGAAATCCTTTATTTACATTTTCTCTTAGAAAAAGATATACAGATCTGGTGCCTTTCTTCAGGTCCTTTATGAGAAGGCCGCTCATCTGGCCCTGGAGGTGGTTTTCCCTGAGATCAGCCGCAGGGCCCTGGGCACGGGGCCACCAGGCTAGCACTGGGGCAGTGTTGGCACATGAGGCAGGGCTAGGAGGTGCTTGGACAGCCCGGCCATCAGGGGCGGGGCCAGCCCCAATGGAGTGAAAAGAATGTGGGCTGCTGGGACTGACACACAGGGCAGGTGACTTTAAGGACTAAGGTTTTGGCTGTTGTCTGTGAACCACTTGTGCACCACTTCCTTGTTCCGGTTCACCCATTTGATGTTGGCTCGCGTCTTCTCCAGGGCTTGCTCCAGGGCCCGAGTGCCTGAGCCAAAGCCGGTGTCCATGTTGTCCTTCTTGAACTGCTCCAGCTGCGGGGCAAGCAGAGATTGAGTCAGAAGTGGTGACTAACACAACCTTGTGGAGAGGCACTTTCCGCCTTTTGGCTTCCCACTACACCAAAGGGCACCCAGGATGGAGACTGCAGACTTCTCCTCTGGAAAGGAGTAGCCAGTTTCCACTTCTCTCTGGGTCAAAATCGTCCTCTGTGGGAAGCCCCGGCAGGCACCACTGAGTCCATTCTGACTCATGGCGACCCGTGTGTGTCAGAGTAGACCTGAGCTCCACAGGGCTGTACAGGGAGCAGATCTACAGGCCTGTCTTCTGAGACACCTCTGGGTGGATTTGAACCAGACTTTTGGCTCGTGGTAGGGCTTTTGACGCCTGTCTCGGGATCAGTGTGGCTCACTGATGTATTCTGTCTTCATTGCGTGGTTCCTGGTTGAGTTACTCCGCAGCTTTTCATTGATTTCCAATCTCAGCCCAATCCGGAGAAGACCACGGGCCATTTTAAACAGACACCACCGGGAAGCAATGAGTCAAATTCAAATGGTGGGGCCGTGTATGTTACAAATGACTCAGCTGCCCTATCCACAAATGAATGGCTTTTATTTTTGAGTGTGTGTGTGGGGGGAGGGCGCTTTGTTGAAGTAAAACTCTATTTGCAGACGATAGGATCTCATATATAGGAAATCTTATGGAATCCATAAGGGAACTGTGAAAGCTTATCCACAAGTTCAGCAAGGAAGCCCAATATAAGAAAGACACATAAATCAGTTGTAATTCTATAGACAAACTGTGGAAAATCCAAAAAATGAAATTAAGGAAACAGTACCAAAAAGTGAGAAGAAAAAACTTAGGAATAAATGTAATAAAAAAATATAGTACTAGCATGTTGAAAATGATAAAGGATTGTAATAAACTGAATACCTAGATAAATGGAAAAACATGCTCAGGAGTTGGAATACTTAATATGGTTAGATGGTTATCCTCTGCAAATTCATCTATAAGTTAAACACGCTCTCTAAAAATTCCGACTGCCTTTTTTGGGTAGAAATTGATGGGCTGATTCTACAATTCACAAGGGATCTAAAATAGTCAAAAAGAAGGACAAAGTTGGAGGACTCAAACTTCCTTCCCAATTTTAAAGCGGCCTACCAAGTTATCGTACTGGAGACTGACACTAGCATAAACTAGATCACCAGAACCACACGGAGAAGCCAGCGATAAACCCCGACGTGCATGGTGATGGGTTTTCACACGGAGGCCAAGTCCATTCAGTGGAGGGTTCAGGTAGTCTTTTCAACCAAAGGACAACTGTTTAGCCACATGCAAAAGTTAGACCCCTCCCTCACACCATTTACAAAAATAGCCCAAGAGCTGAAATGATGAAATTCTGAGAATAAATGTAAATATTCACTGACGCTGATCACCACGTCTTTTCTCTCATGGAACATCCATGTACCTATTTTTGTGTGAACAAGCTTTTACCTAAAAGCCCACCTACTACATGATTCTAATGTATGAAATCTCCAGCACAGGCAAATCCATAGACACTGAAAGTAGATTAATGGCTGCCAAGGGCTTTGGGGAGTGAATGAAAATGGGTACAGGGTTTCTTTAGGGGAGGTGTTTGAGATGAAAAAAATGTTCTCTTATTGGATGACAAATCACTGAATTTTGCACTTTACAAATGGCTAATTCTGTGGTATATTAACTATATCAGTTTTAAAAAGAGGTAAATCAACTTAATGCAACGACCCTGCCTTCTGATTCAAATGTATCAATTGAAAAGCATTTTCAAAAAAATCTTAGAAAAATTGAAAATTGTCTGTGTGTAAGAAGATAGCAAAGATGGTATTTTCTTGGGTTTGCTAATGACAGTGTAATTATGTTAAAGAAATTCCTTTATTCTAGATATAACTAAAGTCTATACAAGTGAAATTGTGTAATATCAGTGATTTGATTTTAAAGTGTTCCACACCCCAAAAGTATTAAAGTGTTGAGAGTTGGATCTGGGTACTTGGAGGTACATTGTAATAGTTTTCTCGCAATGTTGTGCCTCTACAAAATACCTAAGATTTGTTTTTGTTTTTAAATGAATTGCCCACATCTTAAAGTTTGTAGGTTTCCAGCTTCTCATGGTGGCCTTTGGTACAGTTATGGCCACCCTTACTGGGTGCTGGGTGGAGGCTGCCTTTGAGGCTGGGAACCTGGCCCAGGTCTCAGGGCTGGGACAGCTTCTTACCTGCTGCAGCTCATACTCAGTGGAGAATCGTCGAGTCACTGCCTCGATGAGGTTGGAGAAGGAGAAGGAGCCACCGCCGTAACTGCAGGATGAGGGGAGAGGAGATGTGCATGCCGGGTTGGGGCCTGATGCCCGAGGACACACCCCAGGTACGACCCCCAGAATATGAGGGAGCCAGACTAGAACTCCCTACCCTTTCCTGGAGGGTGCTCCCATGGACCATAATCTCTGGCCCCCTGCACACTGACCACACTCAGAGCCCTCCAGTCTGGGCCCTCATCTCCTCCAGATACCCTCTTTGCACACTCACTCTTCAAAGAGCTTCTTCCAGTTGCTTCGGACAAAGTTCCAGACCAGATCTTGCCCAATGACATTGTTGGCAATGCTGCTGATGGTGGAGGTGGTATCTTGCTTCCGGATGAGGTCAGGGTTCAGGGTGTAACTCAGGTACCTGTGAGGGCAGGATGCACAGTTAGCAGCCACATCCAGGAAAGAAGCCAGGACCCAGAAGGGAGTTGCTACCCTAATGGACCTTTGAAGATGAAGGAGGAAATGGAGGGAGGAAGGAGAAAGGAACTGAAGTCTTGGCCCTGGGCACCACGACCACCCTTGACTCTTCTTTACTGGGGTGCAGGTGATGGGAAATGAGGTACGCACTGGGAGCTAGACACCCTCATCCAAGGGCATGCAGGGGAGGGGGAGGTGCCTCGTTGGAGTCCACAGGGACTCCAGTTCAGCTGCCCCCAAGCCTGGACTGAGAAGGAAATAAAGTTGTCTTTTGGCAAAGGTAAGGTGAAGAAGCCACTAATACTTGGAATCCTGACCCCAGTGTTTATGCAAGGTTCCTGACCTTAAGCAAATCGTTTGTGTCTCTGAGCCTTGGTATCGTCGTCTGTAAAATGGGGGCAGTACTGCCCACACCTCTCAGGTCTGCCTGTAAGGATTGTGTGTGTGGCAGCCCGGTCCTCACCTGTTCAGGATCCACAACTGGTTGCTACAGGCCAGGGCTGAACGGAGTTTGTCGGCCTCAGTCACCAGCGTGGCCTTTCGGAACTGCTCCCAGGCAAAGTTCCACTCATTCTCCCCACCCAGGGCGATGGCATTGCAGTAGACTGTGGACCGCAAGTTGGGATCAATCCTGGATGCAGAAGGGAGGAGTCAGGGAGGAGAGGGACAGGTGTCTGAGGAGAACAAGGCTGAGGGGCAGGTAAGACCCGGAGGAGGAGCAGGGCCACACTCACTTGTTATTATCCGGGTTTTTCATCCAATCAGCAAAAAGGCCTGAGACCAGGGTCTGACACTCTTCAAGCCCATTGGAGCAGGCCGTGCTGACGGCGTTGATCTCATTGTACCTACCCCAGGGAGGATGTGTGGTCAGCACACTGAACTCCAAGCCCAGCAACGATTCCCCTCCTTACACAAGTGCAGGCAAGAGGAGGGCCTGGGGCTGGCCACAGCCTCAACCCATCCCCCTCATGTTCCCCCCCTCCCCCTATTTCCTTTGTGCCCCGGGCTTTGGGTCAGGGACCCAGAGCGGCAGGCACAGGCGCCAGCCCCGCCACCAACCCCTGTCGCTGTTGACTTCAAACCAGTGAGGTGGCTTTGGTATTTGTATGAAGGTGTCGAGGGACCCACAGACTGCACAGAACCTCACAGAGGGCTCCATCCCTCCTGCCCATCACCCCCTGCCCTGGCCAGGGTGGGCACTGCTGCGGCCGGTTCCCTCAGGACCTCCAGACCCGGGGAAGTCACACTCACTGTTCCATCAGGCTTTGGGGGCGCTTAGTCCAATTATCGGTGAGGTTTTTGAAGTGCTCGAAGAGGGGTTTGACCTGTTTTCTCAGGTATCTCTGTGAGAAAGAACACACGAATAACTTCAAAGCGAGGACTTGTGCTGGACATGACTAATGCCCCATGGAGAGGGGCAGCTGCCAGCAAGAGGCAACAAAGCCGGGGGACGGAGCACTTGCCCACAGCCATACAGTGCTAGATTGTAGGCAAATGGAGTTTTCTCTCCCCAACGACCTCAGTTGTCCTAACATTCTAAGTCTATGCACCGCCATTTCTTAAAAGAACGTGTTGCGTCCCCACCACCTGCGTCGTCGCCAGTATCCCATGCTCACTGTGACGCAGGAGAGCGCACAGAGGAGAGACAGAAACGCTCCCGAGTTGCTCACTCGGGCCCTGACTCTCTGTGCTGCCATCAGATTTACTTTGGACAGCTTCAGTTCTTTTTTATTTGTTTGTTTGTTTATTTATCTGTCAGCTTCAGTTCTGCATGCTGCTCCTGCTCACTGAAAATGCCAAGTCCTGCCTGATCTTTTCGAGTCCCTTGGCTAACTCTGGTGCCTCATGGCAGGTGGACATCTGTGCCCCCCGGGGCCACGTCCAAATGCACAAGGAAAGCCCCGGGAACAGAGACTAAACAAGAAAGCGACTGGCGATGAGATGGCAGCCCTGTTAGGCATATGAAACACAGAAAGAAGGAGATATCAGGGGCCCAGTGGATGGTG